GTTTCTCTCAAGGTACTCAAAACTACAGGACACTACTTGTGGGGAATTTAGCTGCCCACACATCTTTTAACAAGGACCGCCAAACATTGGCCAAAGATGTTCATGTGTTACACAGAAACCTGCTCTAATCCAGACTGTACAGATTCTTGACAAATAAACAGAAAAATCCCCCAAACCCAGGAACTGTAGCTGAGAGATTAAAAGCGACACCAATGAACAAACTATCTGAATGTAACATAGTGAAGAGTTTATTTGTTTGACTTAGAAAAGGTCTCTGGCATAATTCACTGGACACATATACATTAAACATACAAATGCATACCAAAAGAAACCCAGAAGGCACACATTCAGCCCAGAGGCTCATTCAGAACCACTCACCATTTCACGCTGGAAAGAAAGAGCCGCAAGCCCCAGCTTCGTTACTCGCTGTCCAAAACCTGGACTGCAAGCGTAGGCCCTGCGGTACGCCACACAGATCAGCAAACCCGGGCTGACAAGCCAAAGCATAAACAAGATCTGGAGAACAGGCGTCCTCTTGGGATTGTCCAGGGACAGGACACAGATGCCAGAGAGTGCTAATCTTGTTCTTTAAAATAGTAACAGATCAACACACGTCTCCCATCTTTCCCACCCCCTTGGGAGGTGAGTGACTTGGTTGCAAGAGGTGGCTTCCTGGGCAAGGACCAAACGATAGCTTTTTTTGAAGACTGCTGTAGGTGCTGCTGTACCTTCAGCCTCCGCTAGCAGACTTCCAGTAGAATTCATACCCACTGCTCCTTGCCCCTCTGCCTCGCAACCATATTTTATCTGGAGAGTGATAGAGATTCATTTTACAGGTCACAGCTTCAGGTTTCTAGCACTCATCAAGAACCACAATTAGCAAAACTAGTAAAAATAAATGCGGTCACCTCACCTGGACTCAGATCTGTTGGCATAGGAGCAGCCAAATAGTCCAAGTTCAGCTGATCTTATCTCCGGGGAAGAACAAGTTCCACCAGAGTCTGACACATCCACTGTGGATCAGCAAGGCTGCACGCATCCCCAAAGAGTCACGCTGAGTTTAAAGAGCAGATCCATATCATGCAAGAAAGCAAGTTTGCTCTCTCAAATTAAGTCATTAAACAGTGCGTGATAAGCCTAAGGACTTCTACTATCCCCTGGAGTCAGGACATGAGACTCGACTTCTGTGACAGGGGAAGGAATTTAAAAACAAGTGAACACTACCTTTCAGGAACTGGTGTGGCAACAAAAGGGAAGGCAAACAGATGAGAGGCTCTCTCTGGAAAGGAGATCCTCTTAGCTGACAAGGTTAAATAAAAGCTCTCTCATATCCATCATAGGAAAGAGAAAGCACGTTAATAAGCAAGCACAGAAGGAAAGGAAGGGCAAGTGAAATCAGCCTCTTGGACAATTTGTGAAGTCACTCCACCCAAGATGAAGCAACAAAGACATAAAACCAAAGAGACAGAGGACTTCCTGGAAAACCTGACCATATATATCAATATGGTACTAATTAGTTAATTAACCTATTGCACAATTTAAAAATAAATAAATATTTTAAAAGTCTGGGAGAACAAGGAAGCACCAGATGACAATATCCTTACCAGAATGGAAGTGGAATAACATTGGCCTGATACATTTATCTCTCATCTCTGCTAACAAAGTGAAATGAATACAAGGAGAGAAAAAAAAAAAATCTCCCAAATGCCTGGAGAGTAACAGAAGTCTGGCAAAATCAACCCATTTTAGACAATCCTACAAACATACAGCAAGTAGCTTTTGGCACACGAGCCGTACACCTGAAGCCAACAGGATAACTCATGTATTGAGTTATTCCTGCGTCCAAGTGACGGTGTCATTTCCAACACCTCTTTTCTCCCATTACCAGGAACAATTTTATAAAACACTGCTGATAATAGGTGCTGACAGACCCAGCTGTAAAACTACAGCTGGTTCCCAGAAGGCTGTATAGAACAGCTATAGAGAGTAGCAAGCATTTAACCCACTGAGTGAGGATGAGTAGGTTTAACAGAGGGCACGATACCTTCGGTATTTTAGGTTCTCAGGACATTCTACAGGGTAAACTCAGAGTGAAACAGACCTGCTTGCCGTTCAAGTTAAATACACTTCCAGGAAAGGCAGTTAATCAATCAATCAATCTCATTTTGTCATCAACTACAGGCAGCTGTCTCAGTGTAACAACCATTACTGCAACCCAGCACTTGGAAGAGTCTTTGGAAGAGCTTGTTCTGTGTTGGGAGTGCAGTAGTTGCCTTTGCTGGGAATTCTATGTGCAATGGAAAACCCAAATGGTTTCTCTAAACAAAAAGAAATAAACTAAAAAGAAAGAAACTAAACCTATGTTTTTCTGATGTCTGAGCAGTTTTTTTGGCAAGTAGGTATGCTAGTTTTCAGGTGTTTACTTACAATTAGGGTTTATTTTTCTTAGGTATCACAGGAGGGCTTATTTATGACAGCAGAGTATGTCATTTAGGTGGCAAGAAAGCAGAGACACTTCGAAGAAACAAAACCAACCCCCTTCTCCGCTCTGTTAATGGATAGAACTGGAAAAGGGCCAGTGAACAAGAGGACAGAGGTGTCAAACAGGTCCCATATAATGAACTACGTATACCATGGACCTGCAACTCGGAAAAAGTGATGACTGAGGACATATATGATATAGGTCTGTAAAATCACAAGGAGACAAGGAATAGGGATGGTCATCACTACATCTGACAGTAGAAGAATAAGGGTCACTTGATGAAGTCATCAAGAAAACCATTAAAACCAGACTGACAACAGTTCTTTTTCATACCCCACAATGAACTCAGGGTTCATTGCCACAGAACACTGTGGGGGCCAAAAGTAGAAAAGGATTTTTAAAAAGGGACTAAGTGGATTCATTAAGGCCAGGTCCAGAAGGAACTGCCAGTTCAGAAAGTCCACAGACTGCGGGAACAGTGTCAGAGAAAGACCTCTGTATACACGCTTTATGTTTTCTGCTTCTGTGATCACCTGTTACTGGCTGTCCTCAGAGACAGAATAGCAGATTAGATGGCCTTTGGTCTGCTTGTGTGCAGTGCTTCTTATGGATCAAAGCTCTTGATTTTGGCATGATTTAGAGTTTGGAAAGGTTAACTTAAAAAAACAACAAAAAAAGGAACATTTGAAAAGCTTGTATGTCTCCTCTGCTTCCTCTTTCAAGCCTCAAAGATGTGCTCCTTAATCATTCCGTTTCCACAAATGGTGAAGTATTGCTGAATTAGCAACAAACAGGATTTTGTATCAGCCACTGAAGGCTGCATTATTGCTCCCAGATCCTGCCCAGTCCCCCTTATAAGCCATTTCTCTTGACCCAGTCTCGATTGCAGTTTAAACACCCCACTATATTCCTTTTTTTTTTTTTCTCTTTACTACATTCTTGTGAAATCACTTTGTTCGACTGCTGTATCTATGATGTGAAACAGTTAAGATACCGAACTGTTGGCCTCTGCTAGCTAAACCCTTCTCCCCGACCACTCATTTCTGTGTGGGTAAGTGACAACGGGAATCTAAAGGAAGACTCCTGGTGGACAAAGGATTGCTACGCTGTCTGTAAACATCCTTATTTCACCCAGAATTTGCCACTTTGATTGGATTTAGCCTTCCAGCCAGTCAGACCAATACATTTCTGCAGTGCAGTAAACAATGCAACACAGTGATTCTGAGTCTGTAGCTAGACAGACTGAAGTAGCAGCACAAGTAAGTCAGAAAAATCTCCTGCATTTATCTGGACACAGAGCGAGCTCTGAGACCAGTCATCACAGTTGGTTTTATATATAAAATATGCGTGCACACAGACGTATGGACTAATACATTCATGACTAACCCTCATTTAAGGGACTGACCATCCAAAGTCTACACTTCACCCAGTAAATATGATTTAACTGGGGGTGCCAGATGCATCCAGGACTGCACAGTGGCTTGACAGACCACTGTGTGAGGACGTGGCTGTAGGTTCAAAATCAATCAAGAGGTTAACTGTTTCAGCTTGTTCAGTCTTCAGTTCTCCAGACAATCCTTCCCAGTCAAGATAACACACAGGTAGATTGTTTGTTTTTATCACTTGTAGTGGAGTTTGGACCCAGGTTACCTGGAATGAAAAGAAGTTAAAAGTAATGTTAACATTAAGTAAATAAGACCTGGATAGAGTTTGAACTCGCACTTCAATCCTCTCTTGTTATTTACTACACACCTTGTGTTAGACCTACATTACTCTGCACTTCCTCATGATTTTATTTCCTGCTACCGTGAAATGAAGAGACAAGAAAAGAAGAGCAAATTCAGAGTATGCTGTGGAAAAAAACACTGGAGAAGTATTTCCAGGCTTTGGCCTGTACCCAGGCCAGCTTCAGTGTGTTCTCAGGTCCCAGTTGGCACAGAAAAACAGTCTGGATGTGACTCGGGTGGGAGGTTTTCCAAAGAGTGAGGGATGAGGAAAAAAAAAAAAAAGTCAGGTCATCTCATCCATCTGATCTCTACACATATTCTCAGGAGAGGTTTTTTCACATCCAGTTTTAAACATCTCAAGTGCCAGTATTTCCACTATTTCCTTTGCAAAAGAAATCCCAAAGCTTCAGGGTCTCTTGCTTAAGTAGCATAGTATGCTGCCCCGATTTTGTATCATCTTAGGTTTTATTTTCATTGATCACTCTATGGATTCCTTCTGCTCCCAGTATCTGTACTTTTCAATGCTTGCATTGCTATCTGCTCTCCTTCATTACAGCCAGATGTTGGTCTGAATGCCTCAGCATATTTTTTTCAAGCACTGTACTAAAGTGTGTTTGCATAGGCTTTTGCAAGTAGGGGAGCTCTGCTGTGCTCTTGAGTTCAGCAAAGCTTACGTGACATACAGCCCAGGGCAGTATGTACGGAGAGGGGCTGCCACGTGGCTTGTAGTCACTCTGAAGCAGTGCAGACCCCACTCGTGTATTTCTACAGAAGGAAGGTAAATGTGCACCTCCCAAGGAGTTGGAGCCAGTGGCCAGTACAGAGTGGGAACAGGGAGGGAAAACTGCCACAGGTCATGGTGGCATGCTACTGAGAAGTCTCACCCTTGCTGAGATGAGGGAGCTTTCAACGCAAGCGCTGCCTCTGAACTGGGCTTCACATGAATAATTTTTCATGTTACTCTCTCGCTTGTGGGTATTTGATCAATATTTTCTTCACCTGTAGGTGATGGGGAAGAGAAAAACTCCGTCCTCTCCCCCTCCCTCCTCTCCCCCTTCCTCCGTACTGCAACTTCTTGATATCCATGTGGGAGGCTGCACTGCTACCTCCCCTCACTTTTGTGTGCTACTGCCTCCTCCCCACATCTCCCCATGGCATTTCATTGTACCTCCTGCCCGCCCCCCCCCGACCCATTCTGTATGTTACTACTAGGTTTATCATTACTCCTATCTCCTCACTACCCGTTCCCCTCCCTCCCTGTATTACATTCAAGACCCTCATGTTTACTTTCAGAAGTGTCTGTGCTCCTCTGCTTAATCTCCACTCCCAACTCTTTTATTCTTCTCACTTTCTCCTCTTGTCTTCTGACCTTTTCCTACAGATCCCACTACAGTTAGAGCAAACACCCTCCTTGCGTGTACCCAATACCATTCCCCTCTTTCTCTTTAGAACAGAGGCTGAAAATTCCAGTTACCACCTGTCCATGATCCCACTTCAGCTGAAAAACACTGGTGATAACCAAGCAGCTACTTCTACATTATTGCAGCGCCCCGCCTAAAGCCCCTTTTTTGTTGCAAGAAGCACCCAAAAGTGAAACACTAAATCCTGCTGTTAAGTATATGTGTCCTGCAACCAACGCTTATGAGGAGCAAAGGATGGAAAAACTCAGGACAGCAGACCCTCCTGAATGAGTCCACTTTGCTTCTTGCAGGGAGGGAAACAAAACAAAAAGCCAGCGCCTTCCAAAGGCACACAGCTTTCAAACCCTTGCAGCATTTCCCAGAAACTGCACACAGACGGCAGTGTCTTTGCTGATCACAGTCTGCCCAGCAGCAGCTTAAAATTAACAAGATTCTGGTCAGGTTCAGAGCTGCTGCTGTTGTGTTCCTAAGCGGGCAACAGTGAAATTCAAGAGTTGGGTCAATTTGATGATGTGGTTTTAAGAAAACCTTGAAAGACAAAGCAAAATCTCCATGCCGTGTGCTAGGACAACGTCTCAGGATGTTAATTTGGACATTTCGTTTGGGACATTACTATATGTAGTCCTTGTATTTTCCAAACTCCCGACTCTGACTTGTAGGTATCATTTCCTAGCATGTAAATACCCAGTCAGGTTTTCAGACTCTGTCCTAGAATGCACTTTCATCCCTTTCCTTCCCAGTTCGGATTCCCTTCATCACCATTTGCTCTTACAAAAAGACTGAACCTGACCTTTAGCCTGCTTGAATAATGTCTTTCAATTACTCTGCGAGCTGCTCAGGGTGTGGATCTGGTCTCTCTACGCATTTGCAAGGTGGGATGTGTCTCTGTGGTACTACAGAATTAATAGCGACTTTGGAGGATGTGTGCACAGGCAGGCCCACAGGGCTTAAGTGTGCTGTTTAGTCTTTACAAAAGGTAAGGGCAGCTATTTCAAACTGTGAAGCTCTGAATAATTGCATCCTAACCTGACTGCGTACCAAGCACCTTCTCCCTCCTTCATTTCCACTTCTTGTCTCCCTTCTGTCACCCAGAGTATCACAGCATCAGTTTTTAGAAGACCTGCTCAAAAACAACTTAAACTCTTAAAACTAAGTCAGTCCTACAGTTACCCAAGAACAAAGTGCCTCCTATTTTCATCTTGAAGCTGGAACTCTATTCCATGCCCATGTTCAAGAAATTTTTATTAAATCCTAATGAAGCGTGTCCTACTGATTGAGTAGCTGCAGGATCCTCTGTGGTAACTCATTTTTTTTTTCCTTTCTCTTGAGTCTCCATCTTTCTAATGTGCCCTCTGTCATCTCTGTTCTCGTGCCACTTTGGGACCACTAGACTCGAGAAGCTTTCTCTCAAGAACGGTGATTCAATTCAAAAGCAACAAACAAGCAGTGATCTTCCTCCAGCTGTCTACAACACCAGATCACCTAAGTCTACTTAGACCATACCTCAAAAGTTGTGGAGTCCCCCTTTGCCACCATGAACAGGCATTCCCAATTTGCATAAAACAAAAAATACTTGTATGGACTCCTTGGAAAAGACTTATCAGGTCAGGAAGAGCACAGCGGGGAGGGTGGTGTGCTGGACCTCTGCGCCTTCCCCGCACCTCTTCTCCGTTCTTCCTTCCCCTTTATGGAAAGAGGTGGCAGCCCCCGGGAAGCAGCAGTGGCAATAAATGAGCCCTGAACATAATAGCATGGTAGTGTCTTTGTGGAAGTGGTCCAGACCAAGCATCAGACTGGCACAGATCCGCTGGCGCTTGTGGGTATTTGATCAATATTTTCTTCACCTGTAGGTGATGGGGAAGAGAAAAACTCCGTCCTCTCCCCCTCCCTCCTCTCCCCCTTCCTCCGTACTGCAACTTCTTGATATCCATGTGGGAGGCTGCAATGCTACCTCCCCTCACTTTTGTGTGCTACTGCCTCCTCCCCACATCTCCCCATGGCATTTCATTGTACCTCCTGCCCGCCCCCCCCCGACCCATTCTGTATGTTACTACTAGGTTTATCATTACTCCTATCTCCTCACTACCCGTTCCCCTCCCTCCCTGTATTACATTCAAGACCCTCATGTTTACTTTCAGAAGTGTCTGTGCTCCTCTGCTTAATCTCCACTCCCAACTCTTTTATTCTTCTCACTTTCTCCTCTTGTCTTCTGACCTTTTCCTACAGATCCCACTACAGTTAGAGCAAACACCCTCCTTGCGTGTACCCAATACCATTCCCCTCTTTCTCTTTAGAACAGAGGCTGAAAATTCCAGTTACCACCTGTCCATGATCCCACTTCAGCTGAAAAACACTGGTGATAACCAAGCAGCTACTTCTACATTATTGCAGCGCCCCGCCTAAAGCCCCTTTTTTGTTGCAAGAAGCACCCAAAAGTGAAACACTAAATCCTGCTGTTAAGTATATGTGTCCTGCAACCAACGCTTATGAGGAGCAAAGGATGGAAAAACTCAGGACAGCAGACCCTCCTGAATGAGTCCACTTTGCTTCTTGCAGGGAGGGAAACAAAACAAAAAGCCAGCGCCTTCCAAAGGCACACAGCTTTCAAACCCTTGCAGCATTTCCCAGAAACTGCACACAGACGGCAGTGTCTTTGCTGATCACAGTCTGCCCAGCAGCAGCTTAAAATTAACAAGATTCTGGTCAGGTTCAGAGCTGCTGCTGTTGTGTTCCTAAGCGGGCAACAGTGAAATTCAAGAGTTGGGTCAATTTGATGATGTGGTTTTAAGAAAACCTTGAAAGACAAAGCAAAATCTCCATGCCGTGTGCTAGGACAACGTCTCAGGATGTTAATTTGGACATTTCGTTTGGGACATTACTATATGTAGTCCTTGTATTTTCCAAACTCCCGACTCTGACTTGTAGGTATCATTTCCTAGCATGTAAATACCCAGTCAGGTTTTCAGACTCTGTCCTAGAATGCACTTTCATCCCTTTCCTTCCCAGTTCGGATTCCCTTCATCACCATTTGCTCTTACAAAAAGACTGAACCTGACCTTTAGCCTGCTTGAATAATGTCTTTCAATTACTCTGCGAGCTGCTCAGGGTGTGGATCTGGTCTCTCTACGCATTTGCAAGGTGGGATGTGTCTCTGTGGTACTACAGAATTAATAGCGACTTTGGAGGATGTGTGCACAGGCAGGCCCACAGGGCTTAAGTGTGCTGTTTAGTCTTTACAAAAGGTAAGGGCAGCTATTTCAAACTGTGAAGCTCTGAATAATTGCATCCTAACCTGACTGCGTACCAAGCACCTTCTCCCTCCTTCATTTCCACTTCTTGTCTCCCTTCTGTCACCCAGAGTATCACAGCATCAGTTTTTAGAAGACCTGCTCAAAAACAACTTAAACTCTTAAAACTAAGTCTACACTAAACTACAGTTACCCAAGAACAAAGTGCCTCCTATTTTCATCTTGAAGCTGGAACTCTATTCCATGCCCATGTTCAAGAAATTTTTATTAAATCCTAATGAAGCGTGTCCTACTGATTGAGTAGCTGCAGGATCCTCTGTGGTAACTCATTTTTTTTTTCCTTTCTCTTGAGTCTCCATCTTTCTAATGTGCCCTCTGTCATCTCTGTTCTCGTGCCACTTTGGGACCACTAGACTCGAGAAGCTTTCTCTCAAGAACGGTGATTCAATTCAAAAGCAACAAACAAGCAGTGATCTTCCTCCAGCTGTCTACAACACCAGATCACCTAAGTCTACTTAGACCATACCTCAAAAGTTGTGGAGTCCCCCTTTGCCACCATGAACAGGCATTCCCAATTTGCATAAAACAAAAAATACTTGTATGGACTCCTTGGAAAAGACTTATCAGGTCAGGAAGAGCACAGCGGGGAGGGTGGTGTGCTGGACCTCTGCGCCTTCCCCGCACCTCTTCTCCGTTCTTCCTTCCCCTTTATTGAAAGAGGTGGCAGCCCCCGGGAAGCAGCAGTGGCAATAAATGAGCCCTGAACATAATAGCATGGTAGTGTCTTTGTGGAAGTGGTCCAGACCAAGCATCAGACTGGCACAGATCCGCTGGGTTAAAAGGAATAGGGACATCCCTGCTGCCCCTGACTCTGCAATGCCCCAGAAGGGCGCAGCACCCCACTGCTCAGCTAGAGACGTTCATCTCTTTCGTCCCTTAATCTGGGCCTAATTTCATCATGACGTTGCAGGAATGGCGGGCTGTCTGCTTTAAAACAGCTGACAGCAAGAAACATAGGGAATCTCTGATACTATAAAGTGCTGACAAATCAGAGATTACGCAATTCCCTACTTCTGTCACTAGAGGGTAGTGCAAGCCCTCAGGTCCATTCCTCCAGAGGAAATGCGCATCCATCTCCCTATAGGTCTACACGGATTCTGTTTTTCCTGGCTCAGAGGAATGGGTCCCAGCAGCACATACTGTCTGTGCTCAGGACATGAAGTGATTTGAAGAGAGGACCTCTTTAGACCAGGGCTTACTTCTGCCTCCCCAAATGCCAAACGCACATCATAAATGGGTCTACTATAGTCTTTAAATAAACTATCTGTGCTGTCTTACAGTTCCTCTCTCTTGTGTTCATTTGGCATTTTTGAGTCTGTCCTTCATTCAGCCAGAAATACTTCTAAGAACCTAATCAATCGTTATTGTTGACCTTCCCAATATCTTGCTTTTTGTTTTGGTCTCAGGAGAATGTCTTTCCATTTCACATCATGGCAGTCTCAAGGGAATTCAGTCACTCTACACCTGCAATTCGCATTCATCAGAGCACAGAATGGTTTCTGGCCAGACAAGTTGAGGAGAAATTTTCTCCATGGAACTAGTTTATTTTCCTGCTGGTGCAGGATGTATTGATACCCAGCACAGCTCACTGTGAGAGAGGAAGACAACCAGGCTGAATAGTCCATAGATTTACTTCAATCTGACAAAACATCTGAAACGTTGGGAGGTTAGCTATGAACTCATAAGTGGGGAGAAATCTGTATCATTTGTGTCTTCAACCAGAGGAAGCATTGGAATGACTTAGTGAAAATATCAATCATGCGTTAGCAAAGAGAGAAAAGTTGAGATCTAGTACTTCTCCACAGCTTCTATTTTCGTGACCTCCCCCATTTCAGAAGGTGATAAAGGAGCAAATTAAAAAGATTTCCACCCTCTCCTCCACTCCTTGCCCCCTCACCTCAACATGAATACGTTTTCCTCTCTTCCCCACCGGTAACTTGCCACGGTAAACACACCCAACTAAACCCAACTGAGGAAAGGAGGGGTTACACTGGAAATCTGTCTGTACCCTGCTAGCCTCTACAATAGTGAACATACTGCTGCTGTTTATTGGGGGAGTGCACTTCAAGAACTGCACGTGCAACTGTTTTATGCAAGGAGACATGCAGTTTTCTCTCCCTTTGTCCCCTACCTGCTTGCTGAGAAGGATGAGAAAACATTTACATGAGAAGTACCAACTTTACAAATAAGACTGCCATTAAATTGCCTTAAATTGCCTGTATCATTTGATACAACTTCTACTCTTCTTTGATCCCGCTCATTTTACTGTAGAGGAAATCACAGGCTCTACTCACAGGTGCCTACATTGAATATGTTTGCACCAATCAACCAGACTCAGAACAAGGGACACAGAAGCAGAACATGCTGGTAGAAGAGGTTTTACCTGAGATGCCTCCAGTGCTCCGAACACTGGCATGGCCAATGCTGAGCCGCTCATATTCCAGTTTCATGTTCCCAAGGTCTTCTCCTGAATGTCCTTCACTGGCAAAAGAATTGGCTTCAATACTTGAGCCTGGAGACCGTTTGGCCTTGCGACTGAAAAGCCCACTGGCAAACCGTTTTCCTTGCTTTGAATTGGCCTGTGCGTCTTCTTTCTTCACATCTCGAATAGACTCTCTGGATTTGGATTTATTTTTCAGGTCCACGTGGAGCCGGGAGAACAGTTTCTGAGGGCTCCGATTCAGCTTGTTGAAGTTCTCCAAAGGTGGATTAATTTCTGGGAACTCTTGCTCCAATGTGATTAAGTCATTCAGAAACTGATTTAAGCGTTTCTTTGACTCACTTGTTTCCTCTTTTTCCATGTTCCCCTGATTATCCTGCCTGTGTCGTGAAGCCCAGAGCATCATATCACCACGGGTTGCCCCTGCCACTAAACCATACTTGGGGTTAATGAACTTCCGAGCCACGGTGGAGGAATGAAGGCCTGGCTTTCCAATTCCATGAAGGAATGGGCTAACAATACCCAGTTCCTTGTATAAATTAACTTCCTCTGAGATGGCATAGAGCTCACGAAACTCAACGTCAAACATCTCCACGTGCTGTCCTGTCAAGACTAGCAGGATGTTTCTGTCAATGTGGGACGAACTCCATGTGAAGCTAAGAGTAGGAAACAGAACAGAACTGACATTAGATTTTTGGGTGCATACTTGACCTAGCCCACCTAACAATATAATATCTAAGACACTACATGGGAATATGTAGCATTGTGCCATTTGGCCATATGTCCTTGCCAAGATGGGTCAGGATATATCTTTTTATTATTGTTCTTCATTAGGCATACAGATCGGATGTGGAAGAAAAGGCCCTAAAACTCTGAAGAACAGTTTACTCTTTTTAAAAAGCAACATTGCATCAACAGGAGGAGTCTCCAAACTGAAAACCTCACTGAAGAGAACTCAGTGCAGTTGCTGGTGGGGAGTTCTTGCAGACCACCCACCACCTGATGCAGTGTGTCATGGTCCCCTGGCATGGACATATTCTGTTTTCTCAGGAGCAGCTTGTGCTCTATGCCACCTTCTTTGTTGTCCCACCCCAATTTCTACAGATGCCACACCGATTACAGAGGCTGGCATAAGAAAGGGAATGTCATGGGAAGAAGATTCACAAGCAAAGCCACAAATCGTCCTTTACACAAAGAGTGTAGCTCTGCCTTAAGCAAGAGTGACCCACCTGTACGATCCAGTGGCCACCTTTTCACCATCCACCATCAGGAATCGGGATGCCAATGTGCCTCTGATCTTCCCTGCTGGCATGTAGAACCCAACTCCTGTCACAGAACGTATGCGGATATTCTGACAGGGAGGTGAAAAGACAAAACGTCACAACAAATAGGGCAGAGAATTAGATAATTGCCAGCTCCAAGTCTTAACATGTCACTCAGATTATCTCACTACTTTGGGGACTACAGCTCATTTTGTACCAGGCACCAGAAATCAGAAGGGCTACAGAAAGGAAAGCATAGTGCTGTAAGACCTGTTGTCATCCCTGGTCTATGCAAGTCACTCCCCTCCACCACTTTATAGCCTTGTCCAATAGGTCAGTGTCTTTGTAACCCTGCCTGCTGTCTCCAGCTATTCATCTTAGCCTACTGGCAAGACAATGCCTTCAAAATCAAATAATCCTCCATCTCCGGCCCTGTGCTGTAGCTCGGAAGGCCCAGCCCAGTTCAGGGGAATGAATCAGAGGAAGCTCTGAGTCACGTCTGCACTCTCGGAGTCCTGATCCCTATTCCACGGCATTCATGAGCTCTTCTCCAGACTACATTAGCAGGACCACAAAACCAAGGAACTTTGCAAAACCTGTGCAGTGCAAAGGACACTTTACTCGGAGGGTGACACATGAGACAGATCTGTATTAGGTTCTTTCTGTGCTTGTGTTCTGATCCCAACAACAAATAACTTGACAAAACTGGGCAAATTAGAAGACTGGACAGTTTAATTATTATAAAAGAGAGGAGGAAACATTGTTCAAAACATAGATGTTCTCTATCTGTTATAACAAGAGGAGAACCCCAACCTTTATCATTTTGCTAAGAACCCTGAACAGTTACCATGTCCACCCAGATTCCTCACTGTTCAACAGAGTGAAAAAACACAGAACTTTCTTTAAACAAAACAAGTAGGATAAGTGTCTCTACTTTCAGCAAAAGAGAATTTCTCAAGAAGAGGAAGGAAAAACCTTTCATGAAATGAAGTAGTTAGGAAAAGATAACACCTCTCCCCAGCTGGCCAGCAAATCTACAAGTAATAAAACAAAGCACAGGGACAGAGAAAACACAGATTTAAGGTTACATGATTTTCTACAACAGATGTGTGCACGTACTAGAGAGCGTATTTGCACATTGGACGGAGTGTTATTCTGGTCATGAGTCCTGGCTGCATGAGGCTGAGTTGCCAAACAAGTATATGTACTGTCTAACATGGAAAAAAAAACCCAACAAAACCCAAAAGCATTGACTGCCAGTGTAAGTTTAGAGCAAATCATCTTGTTGCTCTGACACACAAATCTAGACTTTTTTCTTCATTCCACCATTTGTTTCTGTAAGAATTCTCCAACAATGAAAAGCTAAAAGATATTGTGATCTGGAGTAATAAATCCAGGATTGGGAGTCAGATAGTCCCAAGTGTAATCACAGTTCTGACACCATTCCCTGTGATGATCTGGGAAGGTCAATTCACCTCGGCCTCATTCTTCGCCCATCTGCAGAGCAGGAGAATAATGAGGATTTGGCTAATGCTAGCACAGCCTCAGATCCCACAAAAAGCTAAGTCCTATTATTATAAACCTCACTGACAGCTTAAATATTGATAGCCTATAAAAATCTGCATGCAGGAACGAGTGATTATAAGAATGCAGATTTCTTTCCAAAAAAACCAGTTTTCTGAATATAACTCTTACCTTTTGAATCTGCTCCTATTTCCCCTACCAAAACACAGCAGTGGCAGTACAAATTCTGACTAACAGTAACTGATGATACTACTGTTTTGCATTCATCTATTGCTTGATCTGTCTGGAGTCCTGTGTGGGCATTAACTAATTAATGCTCCCAACACTGCTGAAAGTATTATTACCCTGTTTTAAAGATGAAGAGCCTGAGAGAGAAGAAGATGAAGTGACTTGCCCAAGGCCTAGCAGTGAGTCATATGTGTGGGTTGCTGAGTGCAGGTTGGGCATTTCACAGGAGAAAGGGTGCCCTTTCCAGTATTTAGAGTAACATTTGTAGTTGGCTGGCTGATCACCTGAAATAATTTTTTTTTCCTTGCTGAGTAAAGCTGGTTGTAGGATTTGCCAAATCATGGAATATTGACTGCAGGTGTCAAGAAGGACCTCAAGGACCTCTGTTTTTCAAATCAGTCAACAGCTCTGATATGTCGTGTACCTTTGTGAATCAAGAAATATCAGCCTGTGTGAGCAGAAAGTTTCTTAGCATGTAACAAGTGCGGATTTTATTGTGTTTATATGTTATATTACCTTCTTTTGGTAGAAAGAAAGCACATTTGAATTTCTGCAGTAACTGAGCTACACATAACACTTAGAAAGGCACAGAGGGGTAGAACCAAATAGCTGAACACATAAACCTCCTTGAACAAAGTAGGCACAGGAGTGCATAAATACATCTTGAAATGCAGCAAACAAGCACAAAGTCATATAAACATCGAGTCACTTAACAGGTTATTTGTATAATGTTTTCTGCCTTGAAGGATCCTGGAGCATTCGTAGACTGATATATCAAGCTGTATAGAGGAGGAACAAGCCTGGGCTCACATACTGAAGACTACACAACAACAAAAGAGGAAAGACAAATATAAATTACGTGAGCTTGAAGACATTTGGGGGGGCACTAATGTTACCGTAGTAAGAAGTATTTTGGGTAGACGACCAGTCTACCAGATAGAAGTGATCCCTCCAGATCTGTATTCTTGCAGAAGCCTGCTTAAGGTTTTTCATATCCTGGCTTATGGGAGCTGCAGTCTGCATTAAATTACCACATTTCCTTTACACAGGCTTGCACCGCTCCTCATCACAAGCAGTGACTAACGTCTCCCTGGCAGCAACTTAATACGGACCAGTAACACTCAAGCCTGACAGAGCATCCTAATACAAGCAGTGAAGGAATCAGTCTTTCTCGCTTCACTGTGACGCACTTTTAAACCTCACCCCGAATCCACAGAAAGTTAAATTAGACCTAGTTTAGAAAGTCAGTAATGGGTTGTGTTGTGACTGACACTTAGCTGTCCCTTGACAGACCTGGGCAGCAGTGCCCAAAGCTGGGATTGAGTAGGGTGAGATACACATGATACGCCCTAAAGGCAAGCATTGCAAGTACTTCCACCAGGGAAGCCTGTGCGTACCTTCCCTCTTAGAACAACCACTGCTATATACGTTGCAAAGCAAGCAGGGATCTTTACTTTAAATTGGGATGGATGGCATGAACAACCTCTATAAACTAACAGATGTAAAACAGATAAATGAGAGGCACCAGACAAAAGCAGTAGCTGATAGATGACAGTGACT